GGGCAGAGAGCGACGGCGTCAGACGCAGCGCGTGGGACGAGCTCGAGCTTGCCGATGGCGTCGGGCGTGGCGCGTGAGACAAGATCAAGCTTGCCGGCAGCGTCGGGCGCTGGAGGAGGGCAATGGCGTCGGGCGCTGGGGCCGGGAGAGGCTGAGATCGGTGGGCCGGCGGCGTCGGGCGCTGGGGTTAGGTGGCGGCGTCGGTCGCTAGGGTGGAGGCGCAGAGCAGCGGCGTTGGGCGTGGGCCGTGTCACGTGGCGCTGGCATGTGGGGGAGACGGGGATCTCAGCCGCCACCACCAGGGAAGGGGGAAGGGAAGCTAGGGTTTTGGTTTTTGGTCTGTTGGGCCTTCTAAATAAATGGGCCTATGGGCTTTGTGGCCTGGCAGCCTAGCTCGTTAGGGCTCGCGAGCCAGCTCGAGCTGGCTTGTTATCTCTAGCGAGCTAAACTTCTAGCTCGGCTCGTTAGGAAAATCAAACAAGTCGAGCCGAGCTTGTCACGAACCGAGCGAGCTAACGAGCCACGAGCTTCCTGTGCACCCCTACACACACCCAAAGAAAAGGTGAATCCATTAACTTATCGATGATCAAATGGTTCAGATCAGTAATTTCTTCATCGTTAGACACTGAAGTTGTAAAGAAATTTAATTACTCTCAATAACGGGGTGTTTATATTCGGTTGGTCATGTGCTTTTTAGTTTGAGAGGATGTTGGATTGAAAATTATCAAATACTACTCCTTTCATTTAATTTAAATGTAGACGGAAAAAACATTTTCCGCACAAAACGTTTACACATAGCTGTAAAAAAAAAGCTCTTGCTTTTATAATAGTAGGTGGTTGATTATTCTCACTTGGTAATACGTTATAAATTCTTGAGAAGCATCATTAGAGCGAACTAGGAAGGTAGCCCGTACATTCGCACGGGCATGTACCATACGTAGGATATATTTGAGAAACTTATAAGGGTGGTATACTAGCGGACCAATACCTGCAACGATTCAAAATTGTGATTTTTTAATGAATTTTCTTCATTACCATTCCATGACAAATTTAATTGTTATTTATAAAATAACGTACTGGAAATTGGGGTTGGTAACTTATGGTATCTAAATGGTACCTAAGACACATAACTCTTGAAGTTCCATAGGAAAAGAGAGAAAACTTAAGTTAGAAAAGACATTACATATAGAACCATATATAATTAATGACTCTACCGATTTATGTAGAAAAATTGACTTTACTATTTGATGGATAATTCCTCATAGGAAATTATGAATATGTGTAAAGTATAGGGATACAAATTAGAGAAAATAGTGGAAGTTATGAAAAAAAAATCTGACTTTTGATTTTTACTTAATTCGGTAGACCATTATTTCTAACCATTGGATATTTAGATGATCTAATATATTGTGCATATTCCAACTAACCAATATTCGCCTTCCCTCACCACAGACGGTGGACATGCCAATTCGTGCCTCTAGCAGCATGCTCGCATTATTATATCGAGAAGACAAAAAATGTCATGCATATATAGGCATAATACATGTAACTATCTCATGCCCGATCTTTTCATCTAAGAAAAAATTTATATACCCAGCATGCATGCACACTGGGATGCACCTGGCTAGCCCCCCAATTTGTTTACTCCATAGATAGTATGTTCATTTTTCTAATGATTAGATAATTTAATAAATAACATACAAATAAGTATCTGCAATAAATTTTTATTAGTAGAATATCCATAAGGACACCCCCTGTAGACCCCCCTCTTCCCTTCTTCTTTTCTTGGTGAATTATTTGGATTTGAGCAAAGTTAGGTAGCATTCCCGGTAATTCTGTGATATAGGTATTTTGGGCTATAATTTAATGTTCAACTTCCAAGGTATTAAGGTTTCCCAACCCTCAGCGCTGAACACAGCCTAAGATTGTTCATTTACCCATAAAAAAATCATATCTTTATGCAAGCATAAAGCATCAGGATTAAGTAAATAGCCTCCACATACATGTTGAGAGATATAATTAAGTTGGTTGAGAGTCAATAGGTCCATTGATGCTATAATTATGGTTAATGCGGTTTATAGGTATGGGTCCATTGATTTTATTACAAAAAATAAGTTGGATATTTTGACTTTTAATGAGATTTTTTTAGGATTTCTTTAAGTATACAATGGTTCAAACAGATCATAAATTGAATATATAATTTAATATTTACAACTATTGAAGATTCTTTATTTATTTATAAAACATACCAAGATCAACATGCATGAGGGATATTGTCTTGTCCATATTTGCAAGTGCATGCAGTCTTTGGAGTGCGATGAAATTAAGTTAGTAATATAGAAGATATTAGATAGCCACGAGCAAGGAAAAAGCACGCATGCACTTCTCATGCAGGTGGATGGAAGAACGTACGTGCGTTGGGCAGACTCGTACGGTCTAATTGTTCTTAAGTTCTTTTTTTTAAAGATAAATGTAACGGTATATGATGGTAAAAGATATTGGGTCCATCAAATTAAATAAAACCAATGTTCTCTTTTTTCCTTAGATTTTCTAGGAATTAACTAGAGCACCACGTGTCATCTTAGGAGAGTTTTAGTATATTTGATGGACTTTTAGTATATAATAATAGATAGATAGATTTATCTCTCTAGGCTTGTGAAATTTACTCTGTAATATATATTGTCATTTTTAATGTTTTGTTCTTTTTTGGTTGTCAAGCAAAGAAAAATGATTTATATTCAAAGTTAGGAAAGTGTTTTTCTTATATATATAGATTTGATGGGTTCATCGGTTTAAACAATCCAAATACTTAAATCTAATAGTTGGTGTACATGTCGGAAGTTATACTTTTTTCTATGACAAAGCCTCTCGACCCCAAAATATAAACTTCTAGCAAGTGGGGACAACTCTCTTGTTAAATTTGTTCCAACGTCGTCGGTGCGAGTGTGGCCACCGGCGTCGTGGTTCTGGTCGTGTCCGATCCATGCTTGCAACCTTCTCTGCCATGGAGAATGCCAGAAACCCCAAATCGGCTAGCCACCACCGACTCCAAGTTGGCAGTGGTGCTCTTCGTCTAGAGTCACAAAAATGGAACGAGAAGGATGCTCCTCAAACTCTTCTCCCGGCAGGTAAAGACAGAGAAGGGCGGCGAGGAATCGGTCAACTCAGTAGTATAGCCCCGAATGAGAGATGGTTTTGACCTCAGTGCGGGGTAGAGGTGAGATTGAAGTTGCCGAGTGCTCGCTTTATTTAGCTTTCGCAGCGCCCCTGTAAGTTCCAAAAAAGCTGCCTCAACATAGTCAGCAAGATGCTTAGGCGGTGGGGCTTATAATTTTAGTAAAAACGGTGGCGACACCGATCAGCTGTATGACCCACTATAGTGCAAATCTGGCACACATGGTTCTCAGTAGACTTATCAGTATCAGTGAAGTCATAAGTATTGGTACGCCCCCCTGTCTAACTTAGCAGCTGACACAACATTGTTCCAAGATGCAAGAAATTATTTTCTTTACACTTCAGTATTCAAGCGTAAATATATTTTGACGTTTCTTACCCTTCTTCTACCTTGATCTCTAGTAAAGCTTCGTCCTTAATAATGTACTCACTCTGGTTCCATAATTCTTGACGTTTTCGATAATGATACGGTCAACAAAATATATCTTTTACTTTGTTTTTATTATAATATATAATGCATGTTTACTTTTCTTATATTACTTTGAAGGACAAATCTATATATGCTATTCTAGTTCCTTTAAAGAAAATACTTTTAAAGTTATTAATAATCAAAGTTACAATTGTTTGACCTCAATCTTATCCAAAACGTCAAGAAATATAAAACCCGATGGAGTATTATACAACCCCTACAGCCTCGCTACAGAGTAGTCTGACGACGTTGTATAATCTAATAGTAAAGTGGAGACACTGAGATTTAGGGTGAGACTCTCTTTCTTATACCAATCCTTGGAATCGGTCCATGTATGCAAACACTACGTGTTGGATTTTAAAATGGTTTCACAACCCATTTTCCCACATCGACAAACAAATTTGGTGTGAGTGGGACCATTGGTACTACGCCCGAAAGCGACAAAGGGTTGGGGTCATCAATATCCTACAGTAGTAATGCAATTATTGGGTACATCTGTCGATTTGTCACACGAACAAAGGCCAGTCAAATTAACATACGCGCTAGCAATGCAATTTCGCAAACAAACCATTTTGGAAAGTAGAAGCAATATGATGAAATGTTAACTTAATTACCTCTGTCCTCATCTTAAAATCTTCAAAAATCCTCATCCAAAATAAATTCCGTCGGTGTCAACTATGCGCAAAACAGAGAAAACCAAATAAACTCCTAAAAAGAAAATATTATTATTATTATTATAACTACTAGTGCCATTTGGTGGATCTCAATTTAGAAATAAAGACTTGAACGGAGTAGATCAGAGTCACGGATAGGAAATTATGAATTTTTGAAGTTAAACAATAATTTATAGATTTGAAAAAGAATTTATTTAAAACTGGAAAAAGAACATGTGTCCTCACCTTAGAGAGGGTTTTTTTTTTGCTTTAATGAAGATAGTCTTGGGCACGACGTCTTCCTCATGCTGATTGTGCAGATTGGATGTTGTGAAGGTTGTGATGTATTACTATCAACCTATGTCTAGTTTCCATGTTAGAATATTCAAATGGAAGAAAAAAAATGAGCCCCACATGTGGATATGGATTTTAATTACTTGGATGGATGTACACCCATTTTTTACATATCAACTAAATGATTATGAAAACAATTCAAAAAATCGACAAAGTAGATTAATATGAAATATATCACTCCACAAACATACAAGTTCAAATCCAACTTCTATAAATTGTAACAAAAATAACAAATTACAACCTGTAGAAATTTAATTTAAACTCGCATGTTGGTAGAGTGACATATGACATATCTTGTCACATTAGCAACGTTCTTTAAGAATTCCAGCTATAAATTTGGCCACCTGATCAGTTATCTAGCTATCGTCTCTGCACTCACACTGCACAAAGATGTTTCCCAGTAGTGTAAATATGCGGGAGCAAAATAATATCATAATAATATCAATAGCCATGACCATCCTCCTACTCGTTGTGTTCTTCTGTCGGATGTTGGGTAACATGGCGGGCAAGAACAAGAGGAAGAAGCAACCTAAGCTACCACCCGGGCCAGCTACTATGCCGGTGTTGGGTAACATTCACCAGATTCTGATGAACAAGCCGGTGTTCAGGTGGATCCACCGCCTTCTCGACGAGATGGACACCGAGATCCTGTGCCTCCGTCTCGGCAGCGTCCATGTGATCGCCATCGCCTCACCGGAGATGGCCCGGGAGGCCCTGCGCAGGAACGATGCCGTGCTGACTTCCCGGCCGGTATCGTTCGCGTGGCGGGCGTTCAGCTTTGGGTACAAGAACACCGTTGGGTCGACGGGCGATCAGTGGAAGAAAATGAGGCGGATGCTCGCGTCGGAGATCCTCTCATCGGCCATGGAGCGGCGAATGCTTGGCCAGCGCGTCGAGGAGGCTGACCACCTTGTCAATTACATCTACAGGAACTGTAATAATGGCACTGTAGACATCCGGCACGTAACGAGACACTTCTGTGGCAACATCATCAGGAAGCTGGTGTTTGGCCGGAGACACTTCGCCTTCGGCGCTGGCAATATCGGCCCTGGCCGTGATGAGGAGGCCCACATTGACGCGCTCTTCACGGCGCTAGACTACCTCGGCGCATTCTCCATCTCCGACTACTTCCCGTCGTTGGTTCTCAATGGCCTGATGAGTACATTCAGACGGCTGCATGATCCAATCATAATGGAGAGGATGGAAGAATGGAGGGCTCCCAGGAGAAATGGTGATGAGAGGAGAGAAGTTGCCGATTTTCTGGATGTGTTGATCTCCTTGGACGATGCACAGGGAAAACCGTTGTTGTCACTTGATGAGGTCAAGGCAGAAACGCTGGTAATAAGCTCTATTACACCGTCATATATATATATTTCAAACTAGGACTATAGATATGTCCTCGGAAGAAAAATAGTACGCTTGAAGTGCTTACATTTTGGTCCAAATTTCTAATACTAGAAATGCTTATATTTTACAATTAATTAGTGAGGTCTTGGTTTCGTTATAGGAAACAATATACTATGGTGTGGTTCCGTTCATTTTGATGTTAAAATTAACCGTTGGTTACTATGACTCAATAGTGAGCGCGCAAAATATCTAAGATTTATTTTTTGAAAAATAGCTATGGAAATGTTTGAAAAAAAAATTGTAAGTCTAGTATATGCATATCTATTATCTCATTCTAAACTCCACCCACGCATCGAGAAACAAAGAGACAAATCAAAATAATATATGAACAGTATTGTAGTGTTCATCTATGGATTTCTCTTGTTTTCTATTTATTTCTCCAATCTAGATTTGATTGTTGTGACCTCAGTAGATGTCAGTGCATACTTAATATTGTTGCCAATTTTCCAAAAGTTTTCATGGAAATTTTGATTGTATTTGGGAAGTAAAGACATATCAGAGGTTGCCCCTGGAAGGATGAAAATCCATCACTGTTTTAATTTAATCTTATGGCTGCAGGAAATAATCCTTAATTCGGTAGACAACCCATCAAATGCTGTAGAGTGGGCACTGGCAGAGATGGTGAACAATCCAAAGGTCATGAAGAAAGCAGTAGATGAACTCGATATGGTTGTCGGTAAAGAAAGGCTTGTCGAGGAATCCGACATTCACAGCCTCACATACCTCAAGGCGTGTATCCGGGAGGCGTTCCGCATCCACCCCTACCACCCATTCAACCCTTCCCATGTCGCGATCGCTAACATCACCATCGCTGGATTCATGATCCCAAAGGGTAGCCATATCATTTTAAGCCGAATTGGGCTTGGTCGAAACCCTAGAGCACGGGATAACCCACTCGAATTCCGACCAGAGCGACATTTGAAGAATACTGATAATGTGGTGCTAGCTGAGCCAGAGTTACGGTTTTTATCATTCAGTGCTGGTAGGCGTGGCTGCCCCGCCGTATCACTCGGAACTTCAATTACAATGATGCTTTGGGCCGAAAAACTCAATACTGATGTAATAAAAAAACATATTTGTAATTAAAAAATATTTACAAATAGGTCCTTGGCGCCAATAACGCTGGCACTGAGGAACTATTTGTAAATATTTTACAAATAAAACCATTTTTATTACAAATAGGTCTTGTTAAATAAATTTACAAATAGGTCCTCAGTGCCAACGATATTTGCGTCGTCCCACATCACATTAGTGACTTAGATTCCATCCAGGGGTGGAGGGGATGGTGTCAACTTCATTGGTGTTGTTCCGTTAGATCACGGCGCCAATGACGTTGGCGTTACGGAAAGGGCCATTTATAGAATAAATTTTGGAGTGTATATTTGTAAAATAAGTTTTTTAAAAGGACCAAAAGGTGAAAATTCAGGGGTAGCCACTGATTAGAGAATAGGCTGTTTAGGCGACGACTAGGCAGATTAGACGGTCTAGGCGTGTTTTCTAATTTTTCCATAGAAATACAAAATATTGATTGAAAATAACACATGTTATATAGTACTTCCTCCGTTTCCTGTTATAAGACATTTTGACTTTGGTTCAAGTCAAACTATTTTAAGTTTGACTAAGTTTAAAGACGAATATAGTAATATTTATAATATTAAATTAGTGTTATCAAATCAATAATTGAATATATTTTAATAATAAATTTGTCTTAGGTTAAAAAAGTTACTATTTTTGTTTATAAACTTGATCAAACTTAAAGCAATTTGACTTTGACTAAAGTCAAAACGTCTTGTAACCTGAAACTGAGGGATTATCTACGAAGGGGAGCTTTCTCTCGCTTTAAGCGTAGAGGGGAAGAGTGTGGCAGCACTAAAGAATGGTTCACAAGCAGGTAAGAATGTAGTAAGATAACGTAATGCCATTCTATTCTATAATGCAGCTGGCCCCACGCTTCCATATTTCATCGCCGTGCATTGCACATTTGCACCAAAACTTTTGGCCACTGCTCATTGCCAAGTCGTTGTTGCCTAATCGCTACCCTCCGCCATCTAAATACGCCCAGTATCCTTCCATCCAAGCCGCCTAGGATTGATTGGGACCATTTAGGCAGCAAAACGACTAAAATCCTCTGACTAGGATGTAATCTGGACGTCTTGCTACGGACTAGCGATGAGTCGCCGTCTAGGCGGCCGTCAATCAATCTATGTATTGTTTTCATGTTAAAAGATAAATAGTGACTGGTGTGATCAATCAACTGGAAACAAATATAGAGCACTCCTTTTATTTACAGGACATTTCTGCATATTTAAATGGAAGAACAAAAACACGAGCACTACATGTAACATTAGCAAGGTTCTTTAAGAAATAAGATTTGCTACCATCCAGCACTTGTACCCGGCCCAACCCAAGGTCCCAGTACCACAACGTACTAAAACAAATCTGACTATCCAATATTTAGGGGTAGGATTGGGAATGAGTAAGAAACCTCTTCCAACACTAAATCAATCTTGTTTCTGGGTTCTCGTCAAAAAAGAAAAAATCTCATTCTTGCGCCCGTTGTTTCCTTCCTCATCTGTACTTCTTCGCCGTACGCCACCGACGATGCATATCTTAGCAGAAACCAGATCATGCACAACCCAATATCCTTCATCGATGCTACTGCATTCTTCCTTGCCACCGGCGCCGGCGCCTAGTCCAACGACTCGCCGCTGCTGCCGCTGCTGTGGCATCTGGCTCGACCTCTCCACGGCCACCTCGACGTCGTGGCCGGCAACGCCCCTAACTCCACCGCGGCCGCATTGCTTGGTGTCCGATCTCTCCACGACCACCTCGTCTGGTGTCACACCCCGCCGCTCGCCATGGTCGTCGACGCCGAGCATGCCGCACGCCGCTGTGGACCCTGCAGCCCGTGCCGTCGACGCACCTATTGCCTGCCGTCACCGTCGACGCCGGGATCGAATCTTGCAGCATGTCGCTGGCAATGCAATGCACCCTGCTGCTCAGTGCTCACCGCCACCATCGAAGCCGGGGCTGGACTCCGCCGGCCGCACACATCCCCGAACCATCGAACCCCGCAGCTCGCCGCTGCCGCCATCAACGCCGGCCCCGGACCTCGCCTTCCGCTGATGCCGCCGTCAACACTGGCCCCACCGCCCACCCTAGAGGCCAACATCTCGCCCTTACATATGAAAAGTCTATACTACCCTTTCACCTCTCTTCAAAAGATGGTACCACCATATGGGCTAAAATGGTACTGCACGGTACCGAGAAATCTCAATCACCGTCTGATATGTCCCAATTGACGGCTAGGATTTGGTACGCCTACCTCTGCTGGACGGGAGCAAATCACTTATAAAATTCCATCTATAAATTGGCCACATAATCAGTTATCTAGCTATCCTCTCTTCAGTCACACATAAACATGTTCTTTCCCAGTACTGCAAATATGCGCGAGCAAAATAATACCATAATAGTATCAATAGCCATGACCATCCTCCTGCTGGTTGCGTTCTTCTGTCGGATCAAGAAGCAGGCTGCCATGGCAGCCAAGAACAAGAGGAAGAAGCAACCCAAGCTGCCACCGGGGCCAGCTACCATGCCGGTGTTGGGTAACATGCACCAGATGCTGATGAACAAGCCGGTGTTCAGGTGGATCCACCGCCTTCTCGACGAGATGGACATCGAGATCCGGTCAGAGACCCTTATATTTCTTGTCTTCCTTCCCTTTCCCGTCCATCAGATCGGTACCGCCCCATCTTCCTCCTTCCGCTCCTCATCGGGCTGCCATTGGGGAGAAGCGCGGATGTCAGGGGGAGTGGGAGCAGATCAGTGGCACCAACGACGAGCTGGTTCATGCCAGCGTGCTCGCCAGGTTGGCGGCCGGCGAGACGACGGGCACTTTGCTAGTATTACCGAACTAGAGTAATTAGTATTCTTTCCTATCATTTTGAGAGTATTGAATGGTACTATTCCAAATGTAACGACTACTCCCCCCGTCAAAAAAAAAAAGATAAACCCTGGGTTTCCGTATCCAACGTTTAATTGTTGGTAGATGATAAAATATAATTAATACTTTATATGTGACTTGTCTTTTTAATTTTTTTTGTAAGTTTTTTTAAATAAGACGGATGGTCAAACGTTAAACACGAAAACCTAGGGTTTGTCTTTTTTTGACGAAGGGAGTATATAGCTTCTAAATTACAAAAACATTATTAAAAAATATAACATTTATCAAAAAAATGTTTATATAATATACAATATTTTGGAACATTTACATTAATTTAAAGAATAGATGATTGAAGTTCTAAAAATGAATAGCGATCGACTAGTGTCAATTAGTTGGCGACAAACAGAGCACACCTTTTTCCAGGACATTTGTCAATATTTGAATGGAACAACAAAAGCCGAGCACCACGCGAACACTAGCAATAGTTCTTTCTTCTTTTTTTTTAGGAAATGCCATTCGGCTAGCTTTATTGATCATTAAACATTAAACATTGTTACATCGTTTGCCAAAGCGCTTAGAATATAACCAGGAGGTTCATCGACCCAAGTACAAGACTCTTTCGTACTAAAAGCAATAGTTCTTTCTTTATTGAAAAGGAAAACGTGATGAAGTTTCATTCCACACGTGTTTAGAATTCCATCTATAAATTAATTGGCCACAGAATCAGTGATATATCTAGCTAGGCTATCTGCACTCCCAAAAAAAAATCAGTAATCATGCACAAGAACAACGATACCATCATGCCATCACAACTCATCGCCCAAAATGACCATGCATATGTCCTCACCTTTCTGATGTCAATAGCCATGGCCATCCTCTTGCTCGTTGCGTTGTTCTATCGGATCAAGAAGCAGGCAGCTGCCATGGCGGCCAAGAGGAAGCAACAACCCAAGCTACCACCCGGGCTAGCTACCATGCCGGTGGTTAGCAACATGCACCAAATGCTGATGAACAAGCCGGTGTTCAGGTGGATCCACCGCCTGCTCGACGAGATGGACACCGAGATCCTGTGCCTCCGTTTCGGTCGCGTCCACGTGATCGCCGTCGCCTCGCCGGAGATGGCCCGGGAGGTCCTGCGCAAGAAGGACGCCATGCTCGCCTCCCGGCCATCGTCGTTCGTGTCGCGGACGTTCAGCTTTGGGTACAAGAACACCATCATGTCGCCGGCCGGTGACCAGTGGAGGAAGATGAGGCAGGTGCTCACGTCGGAGATCCTCTCGCCGGCCATGGAGCGGCGGATGCTCGGCCGGCGCGTCGAGGAGGCTGACCACCTTGTCAATTACGTCTACAGCCACTGTAATGATGGCACTGTAGACGTCCGGCACGTAACGAGACACTTCTGTGGCAACATCATCAGGAAGCTGGTGTTTGGCCGGAGACACTTCAACTCCGGCGATGGCAATATCGGCCCTGGCCGTGATGAGGAGGCTCACATCGACGCGCTCTTCACGGCGCTGGACTACCACGGCGCCTTCTCCGTCTCCGACTACTTCCCGACACTGGTTGGGCTTGACTTGGATGGCCATGAGGAGGTTGTCAATGGCCTGATGAACACATTCAATAGGCTGCACGATCCTATCATAATGGAGAGGATAGAAGAATGGAAATCTCTCAGGACAAAAGGTGATAAGAGGAGAGAAGTTGCCGATTTTCTGGACGTGTTGATCTCCTTGGAGGATGCACAAGGGAAACCGTTTTTGTCAGTAGATGAGATCAAGGCAGAAACGCTGGTAATAAGCTTTATTACACCGTCACATAATTTTTTTTTCAAACTTGGACTATATAGATATGTCCTCGGAAGAAAAATAGTATGCTTGAAGTACTTATGTTTTGGTCCAAATTTCTAATGCTAGAAGTGATTATATTTTAGAAATAATTAGTGAGGCCTTTGGTTCGTTATAGGTAAAGATATACTATGGTGGGTTTCATTCATTTTGAAGTTAAAATTAACCGTTACGATGATTTGATAGTGAACGTGCAAAATATCTATGGTTTCTTTTTGAAAAATAGCTATGAAAATGTTTGAAAAGAATTGTAAGTCTAGTATAATGCATATCTATTATCTCATTCTAAACTCAACCCACGCATCAAGAAACAAAAGGGACAGATCAAAACTATATATGAACATTAACATTGTAGTGTTCATCTCTGGATTTCTTCTGTTTTCTATATATTTGTCCAGTCTAGATTTGACTGTTGTGACCTCAGTAGATGTCAGTACATACTTAATATTGTTGTCAATTTTCCAAAAGTTCTCATGAAAATTTTGATTGTATAAAGAGTTAAAGACATATTAGAGGTTGCCCCTTGAAGGATGAAAATCCAACACTGTTTTAATTTGATCTTATGGCCGCAGGAAATAATCCTTGCTACCGTGGACAACCCATCAAATGCTGTAGAGTGGGCACTGGCAGAGATGGTGAACAATCCAAAGGTCATGAAGAAAGCAGTGGATGAACTCGATATGGTTGTTGGTAGAGAAAGGCTTGTTGAGGAATCCGACATTCACAACCTCACATACCTCAAGGCATGTATCCGGGAGGCGTTCCGCCTCCACCCCTACCACCCATTCAACCCACCCCATGTCGCGATCGCAGACACCACCGTCGCGGGATACATGATCCCAAAGGGTAGCCATGTCATGTTAAGCCGAATTGGGCTCGGTCGAAACCCTAGAGCATGGGATAAACCACTCGAATTCCAACCAGAGCGACATCTGAAAAATACTGGTACTGTGGTGCTAGCTGAGCCAGAGTTACGTTTTGTATCGTTCAGTGCTGGTAGGCGTGGCTGTCCTGCCGTGTCACTCGGAACATCAATTACAATGATGCTATTTGCAAGGCTTCTGCAGGGGTTCAGTTGGAGCATACCACCAGGTGGTGACAGGATTGAGCTTCAAGAGTCAGCTACAAGCCTGCAATTGTCTAAACCATTACTTATGCAAGCAAAACCACGATTACTACTTCATCTATATGAGGCGGATGTATTAAATTAGGTAGCTAAGACCGTTTTGTATGAAAGCAAAACCACGATTATTACTCCTTCTATATGAGGTAGATACAATAAAATAGGTAGCTAAGACCATTTTGTAGTTTTTTATCTGGCATGATGTAGTCTTGTCCATTAGTGCCAGTTATAACTAAGAACGTATTGGCACTAATATTTATAATTAGCACTGGTTTTTAAGCCGCAACATGTATTGTAGGCCGCAACATGTATCAAGGCCAGTTCATAGTGATAGAAGCTGGCTAAGCACCTTAGAGTTAGATACTACAAACCCCACCCTTGTGTAATATGGCATTTAGTCCAAGGAAAATGATAAACCGTTTGGGAAACCTAGGACAATCTAACCAAAGATTCTTTGCTTGGCTGCTGTACTACAATCGGCTATGGATTTCAGAGTGACTACAAAGTCGAGGATGACCGAACAAGAACTATTGTGTTTGATATTTATGTTTTGGAACATGGGGACGATGCAACACCTTTTGAAAGATTTCTCATACTCACTAGCAGTTGGAGCAGGGATTTGGCAAAAGAATTGGGCAGAATTTTCTTTCAGCCGCTGTATCAGGGAACAGATCACTAATTGAAACTAGTGCGGACAGTCGAATGGGCCGGATGAGCAACACAAAGAAAAGGTATCCGATCTAATTCATCTTTGTGTTGTGGGATATTTGGAAAGAGGGAAACAGATTGATTGGTTTTCAAAAGCAGGGTAATCAACAAGATAAGGGAAGAGATGATCATGTGCCAGATGGCAGTAGATCTGTGAAGGGTGTAGTGAGAATATTACAACCAGAAGATTAGCCGAGATGGGCGACAAGATTCTAGAGAGAAATCACTGTCAACCTGTTTTCATTGTTTCTATTGAATAACTAGTGGCCTATTTGCTGATCCGGAGTAGACGACAACGATCTCTCATACAAGCACATAATAGATAAACAATGAACACGGATATAGGGAGAGGCATCACAGCTTTATTACTTTCTCATATGTGGATATATTCAGATCTCCCTACCTCTCTATCGGTATATATACCCATAATAGGAAGAGTCCTATTGTCACACCCTAAAAATCCTAAATATATAAATTGTTGTTTAAATGGAATTATTAGAATTTATTTTAAAAGCCTAGAAGAGAAGATCTAATTTTAATTAATAAATTCCAATATAAAATGGGGCCAGATAAAATTTCATTAAATACTTTGCTTAATTCTATAATTCCTAGATTTTTCTGGGATTTATTTGAGCTAAGGAAGTATTTTTAATAAATGGAATTGCATTTCATGAATAATTTAATTGAAAAAAGTTTTTAAAAGTCTCTTTTGGCTTTGGGCCGAAAGTCGGCCCAAAACCTTCTCTCTCTCTCCCCGGCCCAAGTCGGCCCAGTCCGCAGCCGCAGCCGCCCGCGCGAGCTCGCTGCCGCTGACAGGTGGGTCCCGCCTGTCGGAGTCGTCGTCTTCCTCCGGCCGAAACCCTAGCGCCGCGCCGCCGCCGCCGCTTCCCAAATTCGGCCGCACCTTTCCTTCTCCGGTGAAATCAATTGAGGGGAAACGATCTTCGGGATCTCCTCTACCATTTCTCTTTTGGAATCATCAGCTAATTTCGTTTGGAAATCCGTGGATTCGAGGTCGATTCGGATCGGTCTCCCTCTCTCCGAACCCAAACCTTTCCTTCGCGTCGCCGGTCGCCGTGGGCCTTCGCCGCCGCCTTTCAACCCCTATAAAAGGATCCCCGGTGTCTCCTCTACCCGCCGCCACCCTCGCCTTCGTCTCTCGCCATCGGAAGAGCCCTAGCGCCGTGGATCTCGTGCCGCAGTCGTCGCCGCCGCTCCAGCCGTGCGCCGCCGCCGTCCCGGTCGTCGTCGTCGCTCGGGGAGGTCGCCATCGTTCCTCGTCCGCCCCTTCGCCGTCGCTGTAGACCGCCGGAGCACCGCCGTCGTCGTCAAGCCGAAGGTCTCCGCCGCTTCGACCTCGTCGCCGACGCCGTCCGTTGCTCCTCCGCCGTTGCTTTGGTCATCGGTAAGTTCGCCGCGTCGTGCTCTACGTCCTGGTGCCCTCCGTTCGTGCCGAAGCGCCGTCGTTCGCCGGCGAGCTTGCGCGCCTGAGCCGCCGAGCCGCCGCCGGAGATGACGTCACCGCTGACGTCATCAGGGTCCGTTTGCCGTGAGCCGCCGTAGACCTGTTCGATCTCGGCCGTCCGTTTTGGATGGATCGATCTCGGCCGTTCGTTCCCGTGAACCGCTGCCGTGCGCCCGGTCCACCGCTAACCCTAGCCGCTGACGCAATAATTCCCTTTTCCTTTTCAAAAATAATTCATTATTGCGTCATAATTCAATTAAAATCCATATAAGTGTTTTAATCCGATTTAATCTTTAAAAATTCATAACTAATTCATCTTAGCTCGGATTTAGTTGGTTCAAGTCTCTAAATTTTTCTAAAATTGAGATCTACATGTTAAAAATATCCACATGTACTGTTCATGCTTGTTTATGTGCTGTTTTGGTGTTTTTGCTCTTTTCTGTTTAGATTCCGACGTTTCCGGAGAGTCCGTTTTCGCAGGAAAAGAATTTGAAGAGTTCCAAGGCCAGCAAGGCAAGTCACACAGATCCCAAACAATCCTTTGAGCATGTTGATCCCGTTTAAAGCTATTGTTTCTATTCAACTATTGCATTTATTTTCGAATGTCATTGGGTGGAATTAACCTATTGTTTGTTATAGCCCTTTTGTTCTTGATTACTTTATTCCTTGATACCTTGGGTTGTTATAACTTGACTAGTTGGGCTATATATATATTGGTTCAACTAGATGTATTAGATATAATTGCTTAGCCATGCTTAGAAACATTAGCACACTATTGGGATAACTTATGATTCACTATTATTTAATGATTGCTTAATGATAGTTCACGATGGTCAATCGTGATTGGTTAATTAATTACTTGCCAACTAAAACCTGATAATGGTGGGTTGTGAGCACATGGTTTTGAGAGTCGTGCTCATGACAATTAAGGACCGGTTCATGAGTTTCGGTTGTGAAACATTAACCGTGCCAACCACAAGCCAGCGTGGGTAACGGCTTTACCTTTTGTATAGCATGGTTCATTGCGGAGCACCAGACTGAGAAGTGGCGGAGATAAGCCCACGGGGGTCGCTGGGGAGTCCATGCCTTGTTTATAAGGGGGTGATTATGATCCAGGAAAGGTGCGCTGTGGTGGATTGTGTTGTGCGAGGGGTACTGTCACAGCTCCTTTCCGAGGTACCGTGGTGGTATTAAGGCACATGGTGACATGTTGTGGGGCTGTGTCTTGTGGGTACAGTGGTACACCTCTGGCCAGAGTAAAACTATTCGAATAGCCGTGCCCGCGGTTATGGGCGGGTCTAACAATGTCTTTCGTGTTTAGTCTCACACCTCTCATCATAATAAAAGATGATATAACTGGTAATAATTTGATTAGCTCCTGGTTTGGAGATAGAACTGTACAGCCGGGATGGTTGTTCAGAATGATTGGGCCTATGCAACAGGGTATGTTGTATAGCGTTGGATTAATATTGATTAATTATTACCTAACTGTTTTATTAAATTCTGAAATGTTTATTAAATGCTGTTTATGCAAATGAAACCCTACTATGCCATCCTTTGTTATCCTGTGCACTTGCATATTTGCTGCGTGGCTTGCTGAGTATGTCATATACTCACCTTGCAATCATTCATCAGAGGAAGAGTTCTACAGTGATGCTGATGGTGTGAAGGATTAGGTGTAGCCCTGGTCAAGCTGCCTGTGGAGTGGAGCCGTCTGCGCCGTTTATCTTATTTTTTTCCGCTGCTTAGATCTTTATTGATTGAGAGGAACTATCTACCTCTGTAATGACATTTTATTCGCTTATTAATTAGAGTAATAATTGTACTCTATTATCAATTTGTTATTGTGTGCCTCGGCTGATTCCTGGACGAGGGTTCACACACATGTAAGCGTTTGGAATTTTGGATAGAAATTCCGGGCGTGACAAGTTGGTATCAGAGCCGACTTGACCCTAGGTTATGCCAGATGGTTACCCATAGAAGCCCTCTAAAAATATTGAAAAAGTAGAACTGTTCTTTCCCCCTTATCTTTTAATTAAACCAAACTAATAGCACATGCACTTCATAATCTCTTTTAGTGGTTCTCGTTCAAAATTTATTCTAGCATTATTAGTACTGTACATCTATTACTGTACTAATGGCTCCTTTTTCCAGCAAAAGTTTTACAATATTGTTTTATTTAATCTTGCTGCAAGGAAATAAATTTAGCATATTGATTTTATAACTTTCTTTTATTTCTTTTGGAACCTGTTGTTCAAAAGTACAAAATTTGTGACCTTGTTTCCAACTATTTCAACTTATCTTGCAAGCTTGGTTTATTTTATTTACTTACCTTTTACTTTGATTTTCTAACTTTATTCAAATTAATCCAAAAACTTGTGCTATTAATTGGATAAATGTCTTAACTCCCTCCTTTCACTTGTCTTTAGATGCCGCGCTACAAGCCTGAGTACTTGTTTGGTGTTGAGGGATTTGTCCAGGAGTTGCGTACGATGTCCTTTGTCATAGGATTTGGGACTGCCCCTTTTTACGCCCAGATTCCTCATGATCGTCACGAAGAAAAGTGCCGAGTCAAAGTCACCTTGAACAGTAATAGTGAAGATATCCCCTCAGTGATGTTCGAAGCTAGAGGAAGAAACTACATCCATGCATGTCAGGAGGTGGCAAGGATCGCCATAGGAGAGCTCCGCGATCGCTACAGTGATCAGTTGGCCGACACTGAGTATCGCTACCATCCTCGCCAACCACAGGGAAGTGATCGTGGCAGCTACCTTGAGACTGAGGGAATTGAGAATGATGCTACCACAAGGCATTTGGTTGAGATGCTGCGGGCTATGGATGAAACCCGTGCGGAGGTTGTGCTAGCAGCTCAAGATCGTGAAGATCGGAATCGTGGTAAGATTTGCAAGCTAGAAGACAAGGTGGATCGTTTGGAGAAGGAACTAGCCGCGTTAAAGGGAGAAGCACCACCGCAGAAGGCCAGGATTCGTCTTACCGCAAGGAAGAGAGCTCTATTTGTCCCTCGCTACCAATTGGCGCCAAAGGTCCGTGTGGTGGAAAAAGAAGTTACCCCAGCCCTAGCGGATCCTCCGGTCGTCAACGTAAGTGATGATGAAGAAGAAGAATCCAAGCACACCCATTCCAAGATCGAGTGGGGAGCAACTCAAGATGATGAAGACGAGCCGAACGAGCCTTCAACCAACTCCGATGCCCGGAAGAACTAGAATGCCTTGTCAAACCGTTGTCTTAGATCGTTGTGTTAGTTTGCTTGTTTTAAGTTTGGTTGTGTGTGTCTCGCATGTGATTTACACCAGTGGTGGGATGTAAGTGCATGCGTTTGTTTGCTTTCGAGTGTTTGGTAGTTGGTGAGTTTA